ACTAGTAAGATCACTTCATTGCTAGTGAGGGGGATTATTTGGTAGAGAACAGTCTCCTTATTTGGCAAAGAGACTGGTTCGGCTTTCTCAAGCTGTGCTCTCCTAATGTGTTGTCTTGGTTTTCAGGTATACTTTATATTTAGCCTAGGCAGTCTCTACAGATTGTATCTAATCAGGGGCCTTATTCTGGATAGTTTGTTTGAGTTAGTTTCCTGACCAGTTCAACTTTCTTGCTTAGTTTTCTTATACTAGTGTGAGGCTGTTTCCTCTCCATAATAGAATGAAATACAGGTCTACCCAGCATCTTGTACTTACTTCCTGCACAGTGCTTATTACATTGTGCTGCGTTACAATTGTTAACCTTTCTGAGAATCCACGACACTATTGAGTTTTAGAGGGAAGGGAGGACTATAGCTTTTCTTGTTAGAGCCCTATTATCAAGCCCAGAAGAATGCATATAAGTGGTGGTTCTCAATAATTGTTTATTAAATGAATAAACAGTTGAAGAGGAGACTTGATTTTAGATCCCTGCTAGATTTTAAAGTGTAGTTATCGTGCAAAATTTCAAAAAGCAGGAGTTTGGGGAGGATATACACAACTCAAGGTACCTGGGGGAAAAAAATCAGCTGAGCCCCTTTCACTGTGGGATGGAGCAGCTGAACCTGGAAACATAGAACGATAGCATAAACTAGGAGGACAATCTTGTCTGATGGGGTTGGGGTACAAGATGCATAGTTTAATTGAAGGCAGCATATGCAGGAAGATACTATACAAAGCAATTTTGCTAGTTAATAAAGTGGCCTGTATTATTTTATCTAAAATACAGGAAAATCTTCCTTTTAGTAAACGTTTACTGTAATGCCAAGATGGTCTTCATGTACTAAATTAGTTTTCCACATAGAAAAATATGTAAGCTCATAGTTGAGCCAGTTGCTATGGCAAAGCAGTGCAGTGTGCACTTAAAACTGTTACCTGCTGCTCAGTGTGTCCCAACAATTTTTATATCCTATTTTCCTTCCACATTAAAATAAATTAAGTTCTTTTCAGGGGTGACAAATTGCAGAATTAACAGTTGAGAGAAAATTGTTTTGCAGTAACAAAATTGACCATGATTTGACACGAAAAGGAATTTGTTTTCTATAAAGTAGTATGCTTTTCATACAAACCTGAATATAAAAAAGTTGATGTTAAGTACATTTAAAATAAAAATCTAAAGTCTATGAAAGCAAGGAAATTTAAGGTATAGATCGTAATTCTAATATAATTATAAATGTATTAGTCAAATATATCTTGTAGACACGATGTGTAACCCACAAAGGCATATGCTAAGGGAAATGAAGTAATCCAAACCTAAGAAAGATGGAAAGGTCTTTTGAGAACAATATATTTTACTTTCTTTAGACGTTAACAAATATGGGTTAACAAATGAGAAGACCTGTTTTCCAGTGAAGAATGTTTCTACCGAGTAGCTTTGGGATTTTGAGTAAGACACTTCAACTTTATGACTCTTTAAAATTCCCTTTCAAACACAAAAGATGTTGACGAGAATGTGGTAAAAAGGGAACCCTTGTGCACTGTTGGTGGGATTGCAAATNAAACCGAATTGATTTGAATCACATTTGTACAAACTGGAATAGTGATTTTCAGTAGCTACTGTCAGTATTTTGTGGGCCTTTGGCTTTCCCTTGAGTCTTCTGTCTGCAGAAACTGTATGTCAAACTTCACTTGGTTATAAATGCTGTATTATAGCATTTAAGGTATATTGATTGAGGAGTTGGAAAGAGGATAGAATTTTAATAAATTAAAGACATGTTCTCAAATAACAAAGATCTTAAAAATAATATGGAACTCATTATTTTATTAAAATTTATTATTATTAAAAGATGCTTAAGAAGTACTGTATGATAGTGGTGAGATTTTGGTTTCTGGAGGCAGATAGATTTGGATATGCATGAATATCTGCGTGGCCTTTTCTTGATAGCATGGCCTCTGGCTATTATCTTCCCTGATACTCAGTTTCCTTTTTTTTTTTTTGTAATTTGGAGATGAAATAACAGTACCTACATCATTGGATATTGTGATGGTTAAGGGAGATTATGATTTTTGTAACAAGTTCAGCAACTATTTAAAGGCTGCTCTATAAATTACCATTTAATGGTTATTTTAATTTGAATTCTTATTCAATTATTTTGTAACATTAGTCAAGTCACTTAGTTTATTTGGACTACAGATTAGTCACCTGTCTAAAATTCTATAAAGTCCTGATTCTCTTGATAAGCTTACTAAAATTGATGGTTTTTATGATTTTTATACTTTCTTTGGAGAAGCCTGACTGATACATTAATTTTATTTAAAAGAAAATAGAATAAAATTCCTTCTATCTTACAGATACTAAATGGGACCATTGGACCCTTATACAAATTTAAGATACATATGGGATCTCAGTGATCTTGTTCTTCCTATAGTGAAATATTTTGCTATTTCATCATCCTAGGAATTATTTAATTGTTACTTATTATTACTTACCAATTACTCTCAACTGTGCTTGAAAAGACTGAAATAGTACAAAAATAGAAGAATGATGGAATGGCCAGAAATAGGAAAGCAATATTGAAATTGTTGTCCTGCAGTTTTTTACTGGGTTGTCTACTGTACTGCATCATCTTTCAAGAAGGTATAAAAAGAAGACTGGAAGCACTATGTTTTTACTCTTTTAGCTTTTATTTAACACAGTTGAGAATTCAGAATTTTTCATTTTCTGTCTAGAATGTCAGATAGAGGAAAATTGACAGAGAGAGGTGTTTTAAAATTTTTAGATGAATCAGAAGTTGGATGCTTTCAAAGACACCTAGAGAAGCACTCTAGACCTAATGATGGTGAAATTGTCTGTGAAATCTCAGCCTCCAAGTCTTCAGATGATGAGATCTTAGTTGAATTATCTGAACCTCAAGAATGGATTAGTGAACAATGTATTTTTAAGGACAAAGAGGAAATATAACAATCTATTCCAGTTAGTCATTTGTCTGGAAGGCCTTCATCGTATAATACCTTGTGACGAAAACCTAGACCATCTCATTTGCTAAAACGACATGTGACATCTTTTATGATGCCTGTATTCCAAAATTTATAGATACAAAGAAGGCTGTGATATTTAAATTCTTATTTAAATTCTTGTTATCCCTTTATATTTAATCTATGATTTTATTATATATGTTAAAATATATATTAAAAAATAAGGGTTTATTTGACCCATATAGTAATGCTTGTCTTTGATATCTGAAGCCTAATTTATATAACACTTGAGATTAAAAACCTCTGCTTTAAATAATTGGTACTATTTATTCATGTATTGAGCACTTAATTATTGCCAAATACCGTTTCTGGATTCTGGGATAGAGTAATACACAAAGCAAAGTTCTGGTTCTCAAGGAGCTTATATTCTAGTGGGAGGAGACAGATAATAGACAAACAATATGTCGGGGGTCATAAGGGCTGTGAAGAAAAATAAAACAGTGGGACAACAGAGAGCATTTGTGAAATATGCCTAATAAATAATATTTTATTACAAAATGATTTAGGTAGCTGAAATGAGACATTGAAGAGGTGAAATACTATCTGTAGTTCCTCTTTTTCTGTGGTTTCATTTACCCATAGGCCATCGTGGCCCAAATACATTAAATGGAAAAATACCAAATAAACNAAAGAACTGTTGACAAGTAAAATCCATTGTACAGGTGGTTATACAAGTGAGTGGTGATGGTTTCATCAGTATCCTTGAGGAAGACATTAAAAGGCCTTAGAGATGTTTGCTCAAATAATTAGAGAAACTAATAATAAGGTTATATATACAAAACTGTGTAAATACTGAATTTAATGATTAAGGGATTTTTACGAGTTCTCTTGATTGTATAGTTTTCTTGCTTTACTGATTTCAGAGCTTAACTCCTGACAAAAAGGATGAAGCTCTACTCTACATTAGCCTGCTTTAAGCTTTTTAAAGTTTAAAAAGTTTAAACCTTGAAACCCCATTTCAAGGTCTTAGATATACATTAGCATTTCTGTAGCATTTGACCTGGAAAAAAGCATGTAGCATTTTTCTTTAAAATACTTGTCCCGTCCAGCTATAAATTTCTGTCCTTTTACAACTTAACAAACACTTAGGTCTAGAGTTTTTGTTACATGTAATCTCTTGAGTTTATACCTATGTGCATTTGGTATCTTTTAACCTATTCATTATTTCATTCGACAAATTTATAGGTAGGTGGTTGGCATTGGGGAAACAGACATAATAAAATGATTATACAAATACGTGTAGAATAACATCTGTGACAGGTCTTATTGTTGTTATGATAACTGATAATATCGTCTGAAAAGACTACCCTGAGAAAATGGTGTTTGAATCAAAATCATAAAGTGGAAGTTAACTAGGTGATGGAGGAAGAAAGAAAAGACCCTCATAGGTAGTGTGGACCACAGTGCTGGTGGGAAAGAGCACAGCCAGAATAAGGGGTCAATTTGAACCCTATTCTGTTATGATGTAGTAACTTTTGAGTTGTATATAACTGATGTATGCAATGGATGGTCTTGTGGAGACAGGTGCATTCTGAACCTATTTTTAATACACTGCCTTTAGACTTCACCTCATGAACACTTGACTCTTTAGTTATATAGATAGCACTGCTTGTCTGTAAAGTTGCTTTCTGAAAGTGAGTGACTTTACATTTTGAGGTCTTATAAGCTGTCGTCATCCTCATTACTGAATTGTGCTGTTTTACATTAATTATACTACTGAATCCTTTAATAACCCTATAAAGTAGGACTTACTAGCCACATTTTACAGATAAGGAATGTGAAATCTAGAAAATTGCCCCAAATAATACATTGGAGCTAGGATTCAAATACAAATCTATTTTTCTGCTTAGCTTCCTATGTATACCAGTTTACTCATAAAATGTGATGCTTATAATTGAGCACTAGAGTCTATTCTCTTTTTAGGAGATACTATATTTTCATTAATGTAGCCTAATACTGAATGAAGATTTTTGGTTACTGTTGAGGCACAGTTTAAAGTTTATGGAATAGAGGTAACTTTCTCAATTGCAACCTATAGGGGTTATTGCAGGTTAGAGGTACCAAAAATTATAGAAATTAAACTAAATTTTGTAGTATAGTTTTAGAAACGTGTAGTTACGATAAGTGAGAACACTGCTTTTGTGGCACAAGAGCTTGGTTTTAGTTCCATCTTTCCCACTTAGTAACCAACCAATGACCAGAATCGCCTTTCTGTATCCATTGATGAGGTTTTGTAATTCTGAGTCTTTATTATTATGATCATGATTTTAGTAGGATAAAATATGAAAAAATAAGATGCAAGTAAAACTTGACTTTACTTTTCAGTGCTCCGTAAGTTAACTGTTAATGGATTTGTGGAACCGCATAAGAATATGGAGGTGATGGTAAGTGAAAGAATTGATTCTTTGTGACTTTTGTAAAGTGTTTCGTATTTTCTTGAAAATTTTAAAGCTTATTATTTTTTTACTTGGCATTCATTTAAAAGTTTTTATTGAATGACAGTCTAATTTTTGTTTTTGTTTTTATCATTTTTGTATGTTAATTATACTTCTAAAGTTTTTAGACGTGTGGCTTGTTTTCACTACATCAAAGTAGCTATTGTGGGAAGGAGAGGAAATAGGCCTAGGATAGTTCTTAAGATGACATGGTACATTGAGAGTGTTAATTTGAATTTGAATTCAAGTGAACTGTGAATTTGATTGCCATTATAACATCAGTTGTATCATAAAGTTATTTATATCCTTGATATTTTCCTTTGTCTGTTATATATTTAAAATGAATGTCTGCTCTGATCATAACATTTATACAGTCTCTTTGCAATCTATTAAAAAAAATAAATATACAAGAAGAGAAAAACGGCATTGATATGCCCCAAAGTTGTGATGTATATTCATTGTTGGTGTAGTGTTATCTACTTTTTCTATATGCAAAAATATATAGCTGCATATATTTCATTGCAAAACAAAATGGGATTGTATTATACTTACTCAGATCTATATTAGTTTTCAAAATGAGTAGGTTAGGTAAAATGTTGCTTTCTGTGGATTGCCTTGGAGGACTGCACAGAAATTGTGGAAAAAGTACATCTAATTGGGTTTTTGGGTCTACTCTAAATTTGACCAGACCACTTATGTATGTATGTATGTATGTATGTATTTATATATTTATGTATTCTTTGTTTCTTTACCTTATTTTTATATATTGATAAGATTTTGATTGAAAAAATGGTTCTATGAAAGGAAGTTAAAAACTGCAAATATACTTCATTATAATGTGATGGCTGTTCTATAAAAATGTTACATGCTTTTTTTTNTCATATTCTCAGACAGGACTTGATTTACTAAGAAAAATGTTAAAGTTTATTGAAGTTATAAGTAAAGATAACAAGTTTCTTGAGGTAAAGCTTCTTTTTTTATTCATTCAGATTGTATCCCTTCTAATTAGATTATTTGCTTCTCTGTTATACTAGAGATGATGTCAATTTTAGACCCTTTTCATAGGATGATGTCAATTTTAGACCTTTAACTTTTTATGATACTGCTGCTTATGCTCTTATGTTGATTGAGATAATTATCACTACAATATTTTGGCTGTAATGAAACATTAGGATTAAATAACTTGGTATTACTCTCTGAAATATTGTATGTATAGTTTAGAATATGCTAAAGTGACTTAACAAGTAACCTTGGTCACGCATGCACATAAGACAAGGCAGGGCCAAGCCCTAGCCCTGACTGAACAGTTGGTAAAGATAGGAGCCACTGTTAGAGTCAGGCAGTTTATTACTTATTTTGAATAGAAAAGAAGTTAGCCATTGATATCAACTCCCTGTGTTCCTTGTCCCACACACCAAAAAGAATGACCAAAGCAGCAGGGCTGAATGACTCCAGTGCAGATTGTGGGATGCCCCATTGCTGAGGAGCCAGTCATAGACTATAACTCAGTGGTTTTATTTTCTGCAGCTCTATTCTGAGGGGAGTGGGGCAGAAGCCTTGCACCTTATCGGAACCCAGGAGACAAGGAGAAACTGTGTTGTGCATGACAGCGTAGCAGAGGCTATAGGGTGGTTAGCAGGAGATGGCCTTCTAGCAGTTCCCTTACCTGCCTTCCATCCTCTCATGTTCCTGGAGAATCACAGGATGTCCTGCCAGTACTCACATTAGCTGAGGTTCAGGCCTTTGCATGTGGGGCCTGTGTAGACACGAGCATTCGCCAGGGGGATATGACAAAGCTGTTTTCCTGCACATGTAAGCACAGACTATTTATATTATTGAGTTAAAATAATAGAAATGGAATTTGATTTTTCGAAAGAAATATTTACAGGATTACATTTTTGACTGGGTTCTGATACCTAAACCTTATAACTACAATGTTTAATTAGTAAAAATGATATACGTATGTCTTGTGTAAGAAAAAATATTCTGAAGTATGCTATTGAGAACTAGTTATATACTTGCATCTGATTTTTATTTACATAAAACGTCCATGTAGGCTCAGCTGGATTGCTCTTAGGCCCTCTGGGAAAAAAACTGAAGATACCACTGGAAGATGATTCTGCCTCAACCTGGAAGGCAGAGGCTTAACAGCATCTCAGTGTGAGAGTTAGGTTTTTAAATACCAGTACATACCAGGAAAGCAGTCTGAGCAGCAATGTGGTTTGTACGTTCCTGGGGAAAACTCGCAGAACACAGAAATTTGTCTCTGTATTTCTTAGCATATTGACTTACTTGATATACTCAATGACAGTCTGTAAATCAGTATTTTAAAAACTGTGTGTTGCAACCATAAGCAGAAGAAGAAAAGTGTAATAGACAATATCAGACTGCAGAGCATGCAGTAGGCTAAGTATTGTTTCAAGAAACTAATATTTCATGGTGTGTGTGTGTGTATGTGTATGTGTATGTATGTGTTCGTGTGTTCATATAAACAGCCAGTGTAAACTGTACTTAATTACTGTGCATTTTGGCTTAAAAAGTTTGAAATCCTGTGGTAAATAATTCTTGACTATTTCAAATCTCATTGAAAATGTGCTTAATAACCAAAATGTTTTACTAGGTAGGTCTAATTGATTACTGAAATCTATAATGTGAACAAATGTGTTGATATTTCTTTGCAGTTAGCTTCTGGAATTTATAATTTTGCCTGCTCTCTGTGGAATCATCATACAGACACATTCCTTCAACAAGTGTCTTCTGGCAATGAAGCTGTAGTTCTAAGTTCACTAGAACGAACTCTGCTATCATTAAAAGGTAATGTTAAACTTGATGTGTTCATTTTTGAAATGACTAACCTCAGAACAGTCACCAAATAGTTGCTCTGGATAGATTTTCTGTTCCCAGTTGCACTGGAAAAATAAGATGTCAGTCATTTCCCTCAGAGACAAGGGCTTATTTGTAGTTTGTTTTTTCTTTTGTGAGAATAGCTCTTCCTCTATTCTAATTGAAGAAAGTGTGCAGTAGTTTTATATTATATTCACATTACTGGCATCTCATGGCTCTGAATACATTCCTTTCAAATACT